TCCTGTTCAGGAAGTTTTGCAGGTGTTAAGTGGATGGCTCTTATGCCTCAGAGACCGGGTAACAGTTCAGCTTGTTGTATAGCTCTTGTTTCGGCAATAACATTCATACCCATTTCTGGTTTCTACCTATTCAGCAGTTTTCACAAAACGTTTAATAACATTTACACCTTTTTCCCGCTGGCCAGCTTCTTCAGAAAATTGTAGGTATTTAAATCTTTCCAATTCATATGACCGTGCTCCAAAGATTTTTTCAAAGGTATTACAAATCAGAAATTCAGTCTAAAGAAACAGTTATCTAAGCACAGTGCTTTAGAAAACTAGATTCTTTTTATTGCCAAAATAGAAGAAAATGGGCAACTAGTATTGATTGTATCACTGGTGTGTTTTTGTTTTTTTTTTTTAAACAATATAAAACTCAAATTTACAGAAATGTTCCTGAAAGTGGCAGAAACATCAAGCATTCTGCACTTGTTCTGCAATACATCAATGGTTTTAAATCGGATGTCTTTTTCCACTGCAGTATACTAGCTATTTACTGGATATTCAGTACATACCATAAAACTTTCAGCTCCAGAAAGAGGGGAAGTGATGTGCATAGGTGATATTATGAAACTGTTTAGAAGTTCCTAGTAACGTTATTATAGTCTACTATACACTACAATTTTTTTTCTGCATGCTTTCTTATCTTCTAAAGGACAGAACCCCCTCCTTTCCCCAAGATTCTGAGACGGGAATTTGAAGCCTCACGCAAACAGCACGCAGGTACTTGGTGTGTCGTTACACAGTCAGCACAGTCTCTTGACCACTGAGTAAGTCTTGGCTTTTGTTGTATGGGCTCCCCAACAGCGCTCAGTAGCCGAAGGGCTCTATACTTCCCCCTTGCGCGGCTGGGCCCTCAGAAGAAATCCAGCCTGCGAGAACCCTGCCCGTGTTGTGTGCGAGTGACCTCTTCAGCCAAGTCAGCGTCATTACAGAAAAATTACGGTGCAAAATTGTATTGACTTCCAAAATGAATAGTTATAGAGGTACAGCTGTCATAGTTTTCCTCTCTTGAAGATCCACACTGAAATGGAGACTAAAGGGGAAATGTATTTTTAGTGGCAACTTTGGAAAAGTAATTTGCTGTAAGCAAATTGTTTTGTTTAAGTATAGTCACAAATGTGTGTTGTTGCCAGATGGAGAATTATTAATTATTAAATAAAAGCAATTCAAGGCTGGATCATGAAAGTGTATTAAACTGACTGCCAACAAGCTTTGCAAGAGACTGAGAAGCTGACATGAAGCGTATTTGCTGTGATTCAGCAATGGTTGTATCTGCAGACTATTAACATAGCACAATTATGGGTTTCAAAAAGGGAAATAAACCAAAAGTTACAAATTAATTGGTACTGATGAGATTACTTAAAAGTAGACTTGATTTTAAAATCATCTACTACTATGTCAGCTGTGTTTCTCATGAATCTTTCTGCTCAGTGATTAAGATGTGGCTTCTCATTTAATGATTCTGCAAGAGTTAAGATTCAGAAAAGCAGAGTTTGCACTGAAATTTAAAGAACATTAAGCTTTTTTCTAGATTTATTGTAAACATCTTGATCTTAGCAGCCTCTGAAATGAATACAACAACGATGTAAAAGACCTAAGCAAAAAAAGCTCCATAGCTTGTACATAACTTCCTAGTTCAGTTGACATTTACGTATAGTTCTGGAGTCATATCACTGAAGTAGACTGATGTTCTGCCAGATAAAGTCAGAGCAACAAGATACGGAAGCATTACAGCAGCACATCTTGCTATTAGAACACTGCAACCTCATTGCTGCTGTCAAACTCACTTAAGCTATCTATGCCGTGTCTCATAAAATAAATCAACAACTTCTAATCAGTTCTGAACAGAACTGTACTTGTACCAACGGCAGAAAACACAGAATATGTGAGTCTGATGGCACCAGTGAGGTTTTTTTGCTGTGTTATGAAAGTAAATGCCTGTTGACCCTAAGCTCTATGTAGTGGATGTTTCATAATTCTGTTTTTAGAGATCTTCCATGCCTGTGTGCTGCCTATTCCAAGATAATTTTCACCCCACAAAACAGATTTTTTTAACTCAGTAGGACTGAAATGTCAAAGCATAATAGACTGATACCACCATCAGTCTATTATGCTTTAACATACAGAGTTTTATATTAAATTGTAGGTTAAACTATATCTTCTGCCAATAGAAACAGTGTTTCATTCTAGTAAAACACTATTGTCTATAGACTGACTCTCAGTATCTTAGTAGTCTCATTAATGACTTGATAAGTAGTACTCTATTAATAAAAAATTGTCTCTTGCTTTCTCAGCAAAAAACTTTGTGGGAAAGTTTGCTGTTCAACTTACGGAAGCATGGATGTTTTTAAAATTAAAATACTAGGAAAAATAAGGTCTTTGAGGCAATATGTATCATAATGAATTCTCACCTGTATGAAAGACAGTTTAGTTTTTTTTTCTTCTAGCTGCATTACCTGTCGATACGAGCTGGCAGAGCAACTCTTTCTCCCTGTGCCATCTGTTTGTATAGAGATGGGGGAATGGGTGGAACTCACCTCACATATGCTTAGTCTGAAGTATTTGGCTTAAAGTCTTGTCAATGTACCAAACAGGTCACCCCTGGTAGGTGTTCTTCTCTAGTGACTGCAGATGGAGTCTAGGGTGACTTGGTCAGGTTAGATACCTAACCTACAGGTGGTTAAAATAAGGTGAAAAGTCTTTAGTATGAATTAATAACAATTATTTATTTTCCTGAATGGTGGTGCCTCTGTCTGTTGCTGTTACTCTATTTTACAACTCAAAAGTATCAGTAACAGTATGTTAGCTGTCACATTACCTAACCCAACAACAACAAAAGAATTAATAGAAGTTAACACCTTGTATTGCACTAGTGTCCACATCAGTACCACTGGCAGGCTGCATTATCTTAGTGAGGGGAAAGGAAGAATCTAAGAGAAGCAGCACAAGAGGAGGATTCCCTTGCTGTCATAATTGTGTGACTTCTACAATTCCCCTTTCCTGCTTCATAGAAGTCTGAAGTAGAATGAACAACTGGAAGGCTTTTGCACGCTTAACTGTGATTCTTGTCTTTTTTTCCCAGTAGATGTTTAAAAAAATAAAAATACTAAACAACTATTAATGACATGATGTGGCTGTCTTATTGCTTGATAGGCACTACAATTTAGGCATTACAATTATATTTTTGGGGTAAACTTCCTGACCCGCCGGCAAGGCTCATGATGTAATTCCTGTTTAGCATACTTAGATCCACAGCTTGCCTTGGTTTAGATCAGTTGGCTTCAGTTTGTACGACAACCTAAACTTGAGTACATAACCAATGTACTCAGTGGGTTGAGGTACAACTTTTTCCACTTTGTATACAAGAATAACTGAACATACTTGATGTCTCTATAAATGATCTTTTGACCCTGTAAAAATTTCAGTATCTCAACATTCAGCTTGTCTGGGATACATTTTCACTGAACATGCAGAGAAGGATAAAGGCAATACTGTTGTCTTCAACAGTCACAAATTAAACCCTCTGGAGGTATTTTATACAAAGTAACTTTTCACTGTGGAATGAAAGCCTATACAAGCACATATAGCCATCACACCACTTTTCAAGCTGTACTTTTTTCATCTTGATGACAAAGATCTAAAATCTTCTAGCTGAAAGCTCTGTTTATTCCCTCCGCAAAGCTGTACCAAAAGGTACAGATTTTAAAAGTACGTTAAAGACCGATTTCAAAGGAGAAGTTCAATTATGGTATGTATGAAGACACTACTGACAGATGTGAATTCCAAACCTTGCATAGTTGCAAGGCCTATACATGTGACTATCTGCAAGCAATCACGGGTACTTTAATACAAAATATTAGTAATTTTAAAGTGTTGAAAGACTTCACAGAAAAAGATATAAACATATTTAAAGCACAACAAGTATTACAGAAAAGTGATTGCTACATTCCTTTAAGTAAATGTTGAGAACTTTAAAAGAATTGTGTAGTCTCCAGATGTAACTAAAGAACCTTACAGGAAGTTCTGAATGGGGAACTACAAATCCTATCCTGTCCAAACAGGACATTTTAGACAAAATGGTCCTTTGAGAATATTAAATATGCTCAGTTGACTTGAAACCAAAGTAAGCTGTGAAGAACTATTAAACTAGAGGTATAATCTATCTCTGTGTGTGTTAAGCAATCATATTAGCAGTAAGGCTCAGCCCTGTGAAGTGGCAAACACTGTCCATGCAGTGCTGGTTGACCTTAACTTCTACCAACTTTAGAAAGAAATGAAGACAGTGGAAAGTATTCTGAGTTACACAGCCCTGTGAATGATACTGCGAATGTAGCTTTTATAATTGTTATAAACACATGTTAATAAGGAACCTAAAACAAACAAACTTATGCAGCAGTTACTTCTATGTTTTGTCTTTGAACAAAAGCAAGTGCACCTAAATTTCACTACAAAGTATCAAAAGAAATTTTTAAATGGGGAACATCTTAATGTCTTCTGGAAATGACTTACACGAGGCTATTTGGCTTGATTTAGGTTATCACATAGTATAAATCCCAAAACCCGTTGGTATGGGGCTTGGAGACATTCTAATTAATTGACAGTAAAAGCTGTATCAACTGCCCAATACATGCTCTTCAGGGGCAAAGTGGGAATTCTTTCACCTAGATTAATGAGGTAACAGTCACACAGAACGTCGTTAGAGCCAGTTCTGTTTTGAAATGTGCCATGTCACTCTTAAATCAAGTACAACTTCATTTCCCAAGCAGAAAACAACAAAACACTCTAAGAGAACTACAGAGGTCAGAATCTGTTATTCCATATGCTTACTAACCACTGCATGATCCACCGTTCTTACGCGACTACTTCTAAGCAGGTCCACTGTGATACCTGTCCTTAGGTACCTTCCACGATCAGAAGATGATGATACCCAGTGACTTAGTTAAAAGGCACACATTTACCTGACATCAGGGACTGGGTTGCCAGCAACTCTGCATTCCAGCAATACTTTGTTCCCTTCAGCAACTTCCTGACTCCGGAGCTTCTGAGTGAACTGAGGTGGTGAAGGCTGATTCTCTTCCATGTTGATAAAGGGGTGGCAAAGGTCCATTTCACTCTGAGTGACGCTCTCCCTTTTAGAAAAGTGTTCTCCATTCAGATGAACCGCAGGTAATTTTGCCTCAGGCTTAGTCTCTTGACATGGCTTGTTAAACTCCCGGTTCACTGAGGTACTTGAAGTTGGTTGTTTCTTTTTAGGAGACAGGTATCCACTGTCTGGAGAAGAAGAGTCCCCATCAGGACTTCGGCCTCTTGTCTTTGCTGCCTGTCTAAATATAGATGACAATTCCTCTATGAATGTGGCAGCTTTGTCACACAGCTTGTTCCTGAAAGGAACTTCTCCCTGGGATGCCGATTCGGACTTTGGGCTTGTCTTAGGCACAGCTGGACCATCCTTCTCCAAATGTTTTAGGCTTCTGATGAAGCTGGGACTAGCAGCTAGCAAAGGTGAGGTGCTTGCTTGCCTCCTGGAAACTGTGACAAAACTACTTGCTGTTTGAGGTGTAGTGGATTGCTCTTTCTGATTCCCTTGGAGAACATGACTTGCAGCAGATGAAGTCAGACTGCTTGCTTGAGGCCTCTGTAAAGCATCTTGCTCATCCAGTTTAGTATCCCTGAAAGAAGGATTTTCTGAAGTGCTAGAAAGAGAGGTGTTGAAATGAGTAAAGTCTGGTGCTACATTCTGATCCTCCTTCATGGAACTGGCAATGGCATCCCGAGCTATGTCAAGGCTCTTACATATCTCCTCCTGGGTAAGAAAGGCAGAAAGTTCATTTGAGAATTCCCCATTCTGTATGTCTGATAGGGAATTGTAGAAAGAGTTATGGTAGGATGAAGCTTCTGACATATTTTCAGGATACCCCTTATTCATGCCTCTCTCTGCGCAGTAAGCCTCCTTCAGCATTAAAGAAAGAGGCAATGCCTGGCCACAGCTTCTGTCTTGCATCCTGGAAGACACAGATACAATTCCTTAACAAAAACACATTTGTCAATAAAAAAAATCCTGTTATATCCTGGCTCCCATAAGCTAGATGCAAAACTGGGAGAAGAGCAGAACCCAATGGTGCATGAAATACTTACTGTAAACCTTGATTTCTATTAGAATGGGCCAGGACTACAAATTGTCTGGGTGGAAATGAGAGCACTTAGGAGTCATTTTTCTCATGCGGCTTCCTTCAGAACTATGAAGACATCTTTCGTCTGTACATTGCCTAGCACAAGTTCAATTCCACTGGACCAATCTGATTCATTATTTCACATCTGATTTATTATTTCACATTAATGCTATTACATTTCACTTTTTCCAGTTTTACGCTTATGGTGATTTGGGGAATGCATTTACTTTCCTCTTTCCCATAACATTGCCTTTCAGACACTAAACCATCAAATTTCAAGAGGAAAACACTATTCTAGTTGAAACCAGGAGAATCTACACAAGGATGTTTGGACTAGAAATTCTAAGTTATCCTTTCTGTTTACTGTTGATACTATCTTTAACATTAGTTTACTTCTTGGGTTAATGTTTTTAACTTGCTACCTTCCAGTACAATTTAGTAGCACTTCTCCCAACACTGATAAGTGGAATATCAAACTAGCACATGCTAAAAGTAAAATACTAAAGAAATAGATTTCACAACCTATATATCATCCTGCACCATGCGTGTAATACATATTCTGTACCAGTTTCACCAAGTACAGAATAATCTATACATCTCCAGTTCTCCCACGTGATTTTAGAATGAGGATGAGCATGCTCTGCCTCTGCAAAGCCAGCAAGAAACAAGACATTAGGGAAACCGCCCTTCTCCCAAGGGAAGTATCTGCCTGAAACTCTCCTTATTGAAATGTATTTGTCCTCCTGGTCACTGGATTGCAGGTGAACTGATCTTAATAGTAAGTGCTGCTCCTGTGAAGCATTTAATTAAGCTGAACATCAGTGTTTTTAATTACCCTTGAAAATTATCTTCTTATTATGATAATTTCTGTAAGATTAATTCTGCACAATATTTTTAAAAACATTAGATTTTCTTTTAAAAGTCCAAAGTATTTCTCCACTGATAGATAGGTGGCTTGGCAGTCATGAGATGCACTCGGATATATTTTACATCAGTTTGTGCAAGCTCCAATTACCTTTAGTCACTTCACCAGGGCTTACCCGGCATGTAGTCATTAACTGACTGACAGATTATTGGAATTCTTGGCCTGACATACACATCTCTTGATATGCCTGCTTGTCTTGCCAATAGATTACAACTTAACACATAAAAGAGAAGTACAAGTGAACCAAAGCATTTTAGGATTTGATATATGCTTTTATAGAATACAGTGATAGGCATATTCTTTGTTGGGATTACATCTTTCTTTCCTTTTGTTTGTGTTTACAGGACAACAAATTTACCAACTGTGCCAGTCTCTTGTCAACAAAATCTAAAAAAGCATATACAGTATAACTGACTACCACATAGGAGCTTTAAAGAATGAATCTGAGAAGCCGAGCAAACAGTTGGTCTAGACGCTCAGCTGTTAAGGCATAAACTGGATGAATGCCGGGGAGCAAGGGTTAAACCTGGAGAGTTTCTGCTTCCTTAATCTTAATTTTTTTAAAAAACTTTGTATTCAAATGAACAAAGGTTCTAGTTTACTATTTAGATAACTTGTAAATACCTGTGCTTCAAATTATATCTTTATTTAAGTCTGATTCACACTAGTTCCTAGCTGGCTCACATCTGAAACTGATAGATTACATACTCAGATAAACTTCTCTGACTTGCAACATCAAGCTGCTCTGGTGTTTCAATGGGTTATGGGTCAGAGGACAATATCGCCTATTGATAGCCACGTGACACAATGATTAAAATGAATGTGTTATGAATTAGCATATCTCCTAATACTCAGTTTTACGCTCTTTTATCACTCATTAGAAGAATATAATAGCTGCAATATGTCATAATTTTCAAAGCCCAATTTCTAAATTAAGGTAAATCAATCTGTACCTAGGTATTTAGACAAAGACAATGAATTTAAACATGTGCTGGTTATTGGTAATTTCTAATGCTGGCAAACTTTCTTGGTGAGAAAGGTCTGGTACCTAAAAATGGATTTATATGTCTAGCTTTAGACAGCTGAATGGAAGCTTCCAGTATAAAGACTTTTTCTCAGCCACACTGTAATACATAAACCCACCATTCTTTCAGAGCAACTTGTAACCACAGTGAACTGGAGGTGAAGTATCAGTAACCCTATCAAATAGCATATAAGATCATAATTAGCTATTTCTAGCTTCTCCAAGTTAGACTACAATGTATTTATAACAGTTTTCATCATCATTACTCATTAGGTAACCTGTAAAGCCATATACTATATCATTTAAAGACACAACATAAAATACAATGTTGTATGCAGATCAGTGTTTAGCTATACTTCCAGCACTATTGCTTATAAACTATTTATGGGGTCATATTTGCTATATATTTTAAAATTACTCACAAGTAAACACACATTTTAATATCACCACTGTTTAAATATTTGTTCAGAAAATAATATAGATGCCCTAAGGAATAATACATTAAATAGTAAATTCAAAATGTACTGGATTACAATAATCTCAGAAAACATTTGAATAATTAATCAAATTAATGTATTCAAGTCACAAATAACGGAATATGGAAAACCACAGAAAATCAAAGGACTCATTCTGGGAAAACTATAAGCATCCTGAATTTGTGGAACCTGTCCAATGAAAAATTATTACTTAAAAAAATATGACCTAAAGCAAATCTGTTCAAAGGAATAATATGAACGAAGAAATGTATCTAGTAAGATTTTTTTAAAACAAAAAAGGCATATATTTTTCCTCTGAATTTTGAAATCCTGCAAAATTACTCCCCAAAGAACAATAATTATATTTAGTAGAAAATGTAAAACAAACCTTACAATAAACAGGCCAATATGAAGAGTCTCAAGTATAATTAACAGGAGGTAAAGCTGCTTTTTTCCTTCTTTATCTAAGTAGGCTTAAAGTTGCTCCAGCTATTCACTACAGATTGCTTGGTCCTCAGTAAGCATCGAGAAGACTGTGGCCCGTGCGTTGCATCTGTCCTCTGTGACTATGTAATTCTTACCCCACTCATCTATATTTGGTAACTGAACTCATGTTTCAGCATACTGCCACTATCTGGAATTCCAGTAGAAGCAACGTTAGGCCTGGAAGTGGCACAAAGTTCTGTGCACTTACTACTCAGTAATTCAGAGAACCTAATCGTCTAAATGAGCAATTTTTGTTATATTTAACACAGCATTTTAGGCTCTTTTAAAATCTTACTCTGGAATTTTAGGATGTAATTTTTGATCATTATTAAAGGGCCTGCCTGCACAGGTCATAGAAAACACTGTGTGTAACTGATTTTTGAAAAATGCTTTTTGTCTTAGCAGATTTTTATTTTTTTAACAAAATTAACTATTTTTATGACAAGAAATAAAATAATTTACTTTTTCTACTAAAAGTAGTTTAAAACTAATAGCTTCCTTGTGTACCTTAAAATCTCCCAGGAAAAGAAAAAAGCATAGAAACGTACAATCATTTAGGTTGGAAAAGACCCTTTACATTTTTAGAGTTGTCAGCAGAAATGGTAGATCTTTTCATAAGAATAGATAGTTACTAATCTGTAATCATATACTACACTGTATAAATACATTTACCTACTGAATTTTCACATCTCATATGAAGCAATCCTATCATCAGAAAAGAACTATCTCCCTCAGAAATGACACACAAAATCCCTGGAAAACATGTATGCTTTAAAAAGACCCCACAACTCTGACACATGTATTAACACTGAAAGAATCAAAATGCATTTCTGGTTTCAATAGCCTTGTAGACTGTAATGAGTCAACTCTCTTTTACAGGGTTTGCTAAGGAAGTGCTTTCACCTCATTAAGAACTGGGAGAATTTTGTCTCAGGGAAGAAAAATTTTCTGTCCAAGAGCACCCTCGGGCCTTTTCAGGCACAACATTTCTTTTGATAATCAGCGACAGGAAGAACTAAACACGAATACTGCTGGTTTGATCTACAGAGTTTATCACATAATTTCCAGAAACAAAAGCAATATGTGGGTAAGATTGTTTCTGCCAGATTGCAGCCTATTGAGAATCAAATTCTCTAGTCTAGTCCTGGTTTAGGACATAGGACAAATTGTAGCTCCAAATAGGTGCTGTGGACCTCCATCCCTTCTGCCAGCATCCATTATATCTGCTCTCCGATATCTCATTTTGTGGGCTGGCACTTGTTCTTAGCTCAAGGTCTCCTAGATACTGCCTTGCATTTTTTACTGAAGTTTATTCCTTGGCAACAACAGAAGTACAGTAGACCCACTGTTGTGACCGAAGTGCACAAGAGACTCATAGCTCCCTATTGGTCCCAGAGCATCTTTAGGTATTACCAAGTGCTGGTATCACACATTTTATTCCAGTGACTAATCAAGTATCTTTCTTTGCATCTTCATACAGGAAATTACCATCCCCTACTCAGAGCTTCAACAGATTCACTGTTAGAGTAGGAACACTTACTCACTTCACAATGTATACAAACTTCCTTCTGATGACTTGGGATCCTTACCACGTTGTAATGAAATTAATAAAAAGGATTTTAATTTATGTCATTTTACAGTAATTTCAGTGTGTCAAATAAGAACAGACTCATCATTCTAAAATTTCCAGGCTTACAACGGTACACAAAAAAAGGAGCTGGTAATAGAAGAGTTAACCGCTGCATGCCTAATTTTTAAGCAGTTACCCCACAGAGTGGAATCCAGGCCCTGTGTCAGGCACTGGCCTCTCCACTAAATGCATAAGGGTTAGCCACCTTGGAATGCGAGCCAAAAATAGCTTGCATATAAACAGCAACAAACTGCCTTGGGCTATCTTCAGCATTTTCTACAGAGAGGGGG